TGTGTGTGCACAACGCATACCTGTCGTTGCATGTACTGTCGTCATTAATCCCTCTAAGATACCAAACTCCTCATGAATCACCTATGAAGAAAAATAATTGGGAAAACAGGCTTAACGAATATAGTAATCTGCCTTCACTAGATCTCAAAAAAAAAGGAGGGGGATAAAATCATGTTAAAGGTGCCAGTTTTCGAAGAAAAGCAGGAACCTAGAATAAAATGATAATCTGAAAAGATTCTCTTCGAAGAAGAGCAGGCACGTAGAACAAAAATAAAATCTTAAAATATTCCTTTATTTATTAAATAAATATAATTAAGAGTTGCCCTTGAAATTAAAGAATGCAGTCAAGTGTACAACCTTGGCCAAAGGAGCAAGGCAATTGGTGGTACAGCTAGCATTGGAAACAATGTCCATGCTTGGGTTGTAGGTTTTCTCATTTACTCCAACAACAAACATAGGTGCATCAGCCGATGGAGCTGATACTACAACCTTCTTTGCACCACCCTGTAGAACAAGGTCAATGGCTTTAAATTTGTGAGTTGATCGTACGAGATCAGAGAAGACTAGAAACAACTCTATAACAAACCTTTTTATGTAATGATGCCTTGTCAATAGTAGTAAAAACGCCAGAAGATTCAACTACATAGTCAGCCCCATAATCACCCCAAGGAATCTCTGCTGGGTCTCTGTCCAGGGGATTTTGAATTAGCACAGGCACACAAAATGCTGAAATATGTACCGAGCATGAATAAATATGCTGGTAAAGAACAGTGATTGAACTTTTGGCACGAAATTCTGGTGATACCTTTTGCAGGTAATTTTAATTTGCTTCCCATTGATTTCCAAGGTGGATTCATCTACAACATTGATGGTTCCCTTATAGGGTCCATGAGTGGAGTCATACTTAAACATGTAAGCCTGAAAGAATTACGAGCACATACTGTTACTATTCTTCAAAACACTCTGGCAACTCACTTCTTGAAATGCAAGAAGGAAAAGAAGATAGACAACCAATCAGTCACACGGAGCAAACCTCACCATGTACTTAGCATCAATAAAAGGATCATTGACTGCTACCACGTCTATATCATCCCTGAAAGTTGCTATTCGAAGAACTAACCGCCCAATACGTCCAAACCCTGGAATGTTCAAATATATTACAATTATTAACCAGAACTATTGACCTAAAGAGCCTAAAGATATTCAGTAGACAGATGAGATAGGATAAAAAGGGGCCCTAAAACAACAAATATCATATTAGAAATATTGATGTGCATCCAAGAAAAAAGATGCTGGTAATAATAAACTTACCATTGATTCCAACTTTTGTTTTG